AGAGGCTAATCTTGTTGGAACTTCTTCACGTAACTCGTGTAGTGACTGACCTCTGAGGTCTTGAAAGAGGTTTACTTGTTTTGTTTTTTGACTCTGGTAACAAAACCTCGTTTCCTTCCTGGCTAATTTTCATTAGTTTCTCGCAGTCAGTCGGTCTGATGTTTCATTGAGTGTTTCGTTCCTTTACACCCACATCACTACGCTCCCCGCTGACCGGTAGCCCTTGCCAAGCCCTACTAGGGGCTACCCGGCTATGACCTTCACCCGGCCAGGCTGCTACACCCGGCCGGTCCATTGGCTTCCTGAGCTGTAATTTACCGGGTGACCGGGCCTTCGTGATAAATCTGGGGGCGGTCAGTATTCCATGAAAACGGGCGAGCCCGGTTGATTTTTAAACGAAATTTTTTACCAGACACCATAACCGTAAAACTGATCGTAAATCAATTTAACAAAAGCAAATATTGCGATGTTGTATCGCAAAACACTCAGCAAAGGAACAAGCCCTTTTCGTTGTCGACGAAACGACGCTCGCGTCGCGCTCGTCCGAGGGGACTCGCCGCGAGGAGATGCTGTCTGCATGACGCGGTGGATTGGTTAAGGCCGGTTTTACAAAAATTATGGTCCGCCATTTGGCCGGCCGGTTCGCGGCCCGTTTTTTTGTAGTAAGTTTAGATTTCTTACATTGGCTCCCTCAATTTCCTCTCACTGCCCTCATACTCTTCTTCTCCCTCTCTTCAAAGCCTGTCGAACTAGCTACCTCAACCGAAGATCACCACGTCACTGCGCAGGATTTTGGGAAATTATAGATAGCTTAATCTAATAACTAAGCTTTTTAATATCTTTCATCCCATCTGTACACCTCTAATGCCGACTGTTTTCACGTCAAATAGTTGTCCAAACAAGGTGTCTGGAATAAAGGGTCGATAAGAAAGGTTTTTGGGACACCTCTTTAGGTAACGAAAACAGCTCCCTTGGTCGTCGAATGAAGGCCAAAAATCCTGGCAGTGCCGTGGAGAGGTTATACTACGGTATATATGTTCCAGAAGACAGCCTAGACATGTAGTTACGGCGATACACTTGTTCTCGACTTTCATCATGTTAGTATATTCCAAACCGAAATCCCTTTACAGGGTCGTCAAAATCCTATTACTTCCAAGATTAGATTAGTTTAATGTATCGGTAATGTAAAGTTGAGGATTACTCTCCTTCCCGTCTTTCGCAAATATGTCTTATTATTATGAAAAAATGTTACTGGTGTTCTAGTAATAACATAGTTTGTTTATACTTGTTAACTCCTTACTCCTTCTTGACTACTAGTTCATCATACATCATCTCGTATTTAAGATAACGTTGTTTACACAACAAGGTCTACGGTAACCGTAAAATGGGACTTACAGATAGGAGAACGCACTTTTTTTTTTTTATTAGTGGGGGGGGTGGGCGCGTAAATGATCGCCATATGAAACACAGGGTCAGGCGGGGACTCACTACCTGAGTCTGGACTAAAATTGTTCAGTGTAATGCGTCAATAATCCAGACGTATGATGGTGGACTTCTTATATAGTTCCTAATTTTGATTACAGCATTGTCCTCAATCTTTTTGAACAGGTACGAAAAACAAAGTCATCTGAGCTGATGACGTTATCACAGAAGTGTCCCGAGTGATTTTTTAGGATAGTCTTTCGACGCTTGTCGACAAGTCTTGCGACGTAGAGCTCACGAGTGACTGGACTTTTCACCTAGTGTAGTGGCAAGACTCTAGTAATGTGACGAGGGTCAGACGGTTTATAACTAAAATTTTATGTTGACGATCAAACAATTTAGTAGAATTACCGAATCCTGGCTCCATATATCCGCTGGTGAGGTAGTGATACTTCGTGGGTCCTCAGAGTCCAGAAACCCAGCCCAGAACGAGAGACAAGGCTCTTATTGTTGATTGTACACCTTTTCGTTGCGAAATCCATAATACGGGGGTTGTTAAACCTTGTTTGACGGGATTTAGTACGTGAGGAGAGCTTTGTGAAGGATAACAAATTTAGAAGGCTGGTTTTGCGTGATAAACGGCGACGAATATTAACTCGACGGGTATGAGTGCTGTGTCATACGGAAAAATCAGTAACATAAGACATGGTACGAACACAAATAAATAAATAAAATTAAAGTAATGGAAACGACATAATACGGACAAAAATTACGGAAAAATTATTAATAGAATAAGAATTACAGAAAACGAAATTAGACACGGTGTAATTTTAAATAAATATGGGTGTCGTCTGCATATATTTGATAGCTTAGATCGTTCTTTTTTAATAATTTCAGCCAGAGGTAGCATATCAATATTAAAAGCAAAGGTCCTAAGATCAACCCGGTATCACGGCAAGACGTGAACATGTGACGATTTACCATGCTGGGAGACGTGAAGATGTTACGACTTCGTCCCTTCAAACCAGCGCCATATAGATAATTAATTAAGATATAGATAACTAGTTCTATCTATCTAGATCTATATCTTATATCTTATATCTTATATAGATATTATCTAACTAATTATTTAACAAATATTTGTTTCTCCGAATCGAAGGGGAAAATTACAAAAAGCATTGTACACAATTTAAACCAATCAATGTTGTGTAATCAACAAGGATAATCTGGTGTTTTTGAGTTGATGAGTGGTGCAGACATCACTGTAAAATCAATCGACAGTAGTAGTAGGGTTATGGCTAGAAAGGATCCGTCTAGTGTAAATATGACGTCACGTTCTCGTTGTAACTCTCGTTGTAATTGGAGCGGCTCGGAAACACATCTACAGCAGTAACATGATGCAACATACACATTAATGCAGCAGCAATATTAATAGAGAAACATCAGACATAATAGTAAAACACTGCAAGGGAACATTTTATTGCACCAGGAGTTATCTTGGGACTTTTACTGCAACAACGTTGACTTGCCTGTGAATAAAAAATAAACCATAGTGTTGGTGATCTACAGTGTTGTCATTCTTCTTTGAACACCAGCAAGACCGCTAACACCCTATTTCAACAATCACACTCCCTGTAATTGACATAATTAATATATAGTTTAACTTCTCATCATCATTTGCTGTGGCCCACTGATGTTAACGATCGTAACTGAAAGGCTGCCTGCCAAACGTAAACATTCAGCCACGTGACATTCAGCCAAACTCTCGCGAGAGTTTTACACAAGACGGATCCTTTCTAGCCATAACCTAGTAGAGTAGTACTTCCGGGTGTAAAATCCTCCGTTATCCAATGGGATTGGACGCTCACATTGCTCTCCGTAATACAATAAAGGGGACATGATCAAATCGGAATATAATGTTCTTTTAAAAAACGTTAACTAAAGGGAACAATCTATTTGACACAGCTGAAGCTCTGGCCTTCCTTAAAAACTAATTTAATAAAAATCAGTTACTTGTATTACACACAATGCACTGTTTTTTTCTCCAAAAATTCGTAACTAATGCACCATAATACATTCTGACGAAAACATTTTTTTATTATGAATACAAATAAAATAAAAGAAGCCTCCCGTGAGTTACTACAACAAGCTATAAAGTAGATTTTGAAAACGTTTTATAGCATACAAGCTCACTGCTGGACGTTGTAGAAATGCGTGTGTGCACCACGACAAAGCAGCCTCATTCACTTTACATTGGCGTTGTTTGCGTGGTGCAGACACGTAAATGTAGCAAAGTTCGTGACTCCACCACGCAATGCGGTGTTAAGGAGTCGTGGAGTCATGCATTCTGGTGAGACCAGGTTGGAGAAAAAATAAAGACCTTTTTAGAACATTAAAGCACACATGTCATAGTAGCACAAATTTGCACATTAGAGTCCCTTTAAAAGTTGTTGAGAAAAACCTGAAATAATCTCCCAGAGACAAACCAACAATGCTGTATTCTTTTATTTTTACTTTTACAGATTTGACAATTTATTCCAAGTTTCTTAACGGTGAACACATTCACTAAGCACAACTACCAGAAACTACAAACAGTCCAGTTTGTACACATGGGTCAGAGAGGAAACATCTGGTACCAGCGTGTTCACACCGGTACCACGACAGCTGAGGTGATGATTTATGATCGTTTTTAACAATATTTAAAATGGCACAATCAACGCTAGTGCTGATAAGAACAATGGTCATTTATAATGTCTACGTCGTATCGTACAACCAACTCTCCCCTTCGTGTAAAAACGCAGAGTGAAGGAATGACACTTATTTCTGTTTGACAGCCCAAGAAAAGCCCAGGGAAACAACGCTGCTCAACAATACAAGCACATGAATGTAAATGTTTTCTAACGCTCCACTGAAACTATTCTTAATATGTCAGACGACAAGGATAGTCTGAGCAAGTGTGAGAAAGCTGGTGCTGCATCCACAAAAATCACAAGTGTCTTCCTTCCTGTGGCTTGCAATATTTCATAGTCTGAATAAAACTGCAAAAATAAATCACTGATTAAGGAAGTGAAGCGCCCACTCGCGTAGGGAATGTGGCAGAGGAAGCTTAATGGGTTGCAGTTCAGCAGGAAGGTGTTGGGAGTGTTTCTTTTTACAGTCCTTGTCAATCTATTATTTATCTGTCTTCCTCAGCAATGTCTAAAAAATGCATTTTGGACTAATGGCAAAACAGTGCAACCCTGTGGCAATAACTGTTGACCAAAAGGACACCTTATCAGAACAAAATATCACATTTAATATTAATTTTACAGTGGAAAAAAACCCTGGAGTGACACAATGACGATTTTGTTTTAGTCACTCAGATAGCAAATATTCAAATAAGGCTTTGCCCAAAAATGTGCAGCTAAAACACTTCATTAACAACTTAAAACATTCATATGTTAAATAAATTCCTTCCAGTTACCGTCTTACTTGCAACAGATATGTACTCTTTACACAAAGCATACTTGAAACCACCTAATAATGTAACAAAAAGGCAGATTGATAACATGTGGTCCCAATGAGAGCATATTCAATTATTCTCAAATACAAGTGCAATACAAACTTCACACACTAACTTCTCTTTACTCCACTTACAAATTTGAAGATGTTTAAATATGTATATTTCTCAGCATGTACTGTAGCTTCACAAGAGCAAGTTCACGGATATTTCAAATGCAAAACACATTTGGTTGAATGTTGGTTGGTTTTAGAAGAAACAAAACATAACCAATAAAACGTACCGAGTTCAGTTTTTGGAGACGATTCACAACCACCTATATATTTAAGCACCTTTAAAAAAAAAAAACATTCTATGAAAGTGAAATATGTTTGTGAAAGGCCTTTAGGACAAAGTAAGGTTCACATGAGGGTAAGAGGCAAATTGGGTTGGCTGTTAATACTAATGGCAAAACAGGAAGTAAACGGGGGGAAAAAGTGCAGCGAGGACAATGTGAACGCAGACAAAACACTTTCTGTAACAACATGGGCAGATTCCCTCACTCTCCAATCAGAAGACTACATCGATGTTTCTTTGTAGAAACAAACAACAAAAGTTTGAAGTTGTATTTCTACTGACTAGTAAAGCAAAGCGCATGCTGGTTGTATGAGGGCAGCAGCAGCAATGTATCCATGCTGAGTTGTAGCAGGTGAGGTGTAATATCATAGTTGAAGGAAAGTCCTAAATATGACTGGATATCTGGACCAAAACATATCGTGCACCAAAAAGAAAATGTCAGCAAACCCTTAATTTAACCGTGCAGTGCAATTGGAATGGAAAACAGCTGCACCTATTCTGTTGTTTTTGGTAATAAAAGGCCCATGTTGTGTTGTCTTGGCCGCTGAACAGGAAGGCATAGGACGGACATGAATGAAAAGAGAGGAGAGGAATCGCTCTCCAAAGCTGCGGTTTGTGGTCTTTGTGGGAATAAAGCAGATACAAATGTTGTAAAGATGGACACATCCAAGACGAACCCCCAAGAGACCTTTTCTGTCCTGTCTGCTCAGTGATACATGGCTTCTTCACGATATACACAACAGAAAATGATGATACTGAAATAAATAGTTCCACATTGATGATAACAAAACAGGCTTTGACCAGAGAAGACGAGAAGAGAGAGTAAAGCGTACGCAGTGCAACCCCCCCCCCCTCGGTGATTCAGCAGTGAGAAATGTGTGAGAGAGTGACTTCATATCTTTGTGCCAGTGTTTCCTCTGAGCTCTGGTCACATAACAGTACAGACTGCAGCAGGTTAAACCTTTGTCAAAGCTTCAACTTTCTAAATCTCTCCTCAGTTAAAACCCGTGCTACACTTCATCTGCAGGAAATGCAGGGTAACCATGGCAATGCGACAGTTAACTTAAGACTTGACCTAAGAAATAATCATCTCTGCTGGCACTACACTAGGCCTACATCATTTACCTGATAGACGTAAATATTTAACAATGGAGCCGATTATCTCGGGAATCCTATCCTTCATATATAGGAGGAGAAAGCTTCTAATCTCAAAGAGGGAGGGTGGGGACGGAGTTAAATGCAATAAATAAAATACACGATATATATATTATTCATATTTATATATGTATAAATGATATAGTACAGACGATGAGTTCTGTGTTGTCTTGACTGTTTTCAGAGAGGAAGGCCGGTCCAGGTTAACTCAACATGGGGGTGGAGAGAGCTAACTTTAGCATGGCTATCACTCAAAGCTTCATATGCGGACTCAAAACTCACTTTGAGACCCGACATACCAACCTCATCAAGTTACTTTCTTTCTGAGGACTCTACTCCTTTGTGTGGCGATATACATTCTCTCCGGGGAACGACACGATGACGAGATCTTACAGCGAGTTTACACACAGATCTGGAAGCTGGGGTCCACTAAGACGGACTCGATGGAGCGCGAGGAGGCATTGATATGGCCCTGTGGCTTCTCTAAGAGGCAAGCGGTTTTACAAGCAGTGGATGGTGACATTTAAACCAGCGAGTGCATCTGTGTGTTTTGTGAGACAGAAGTGAAGGCGTGCATGTGTACGTTCAGAGGATGTATGTTTTGTACAGATGCATGTTGAGAGTTCAGCATGTGGTTGTGTTTGAGGGTTTAATTTTTGTGTGTCAGTATCCAGATTCAGACCAGCGATTTTTTACTGGAAACCGTGTTTTGAATTAGAAGCTTTTTTTTATTTTTTAAATAACTGCTCAAATCGTGTTCATTTTTGAGTGTGTTCAACGCTTTTAATTTTCTTTGTAGTCTTTGTGGGCTAGTGAGTGTCATGTGGCCACTACGTCATCTTCTCCGCCTTCCTGTTGAGTTTAGACACGTGTGAGGAAGGCCAGGTTAAGAGAGCTGGGGACCTGGATGGTTTCCAGGGCAAGTGAGGACGGGCTGAATGGGAAGGTGACCGGGTAAATCATCTTGGTGTCCATCAACAACTGGGGACTCACACAACGGTCGCGCAAACGAGTCTGAATGGAAAAATAAGAGAGCACAGGAAGAGCAGGGAATTATATCATATGCAGTCACATTCATACAGAGATATTCTTAATAGGGTTCAGTGCGTTCCAGTAGCTTTGCACTTTCTAGTGCTTTGCATAATTGCTAGGCAGTCATCTTGCAACTTTTATTTTTCATTCCTTGCATTTAAAAATATTAATCTGATGTTTGTACCCAGTGATAACTTGGAACGTAGAAAAGTGAAGTGAAAAAGCAGTAAACACAACGCTCTGCCAATTTTGTAGCAAGTTCAAATTAATTAGCAACAGTGCTAAAGTGCATTTGCCACATGAAGGCTGAAGTTACTTACTATCAAATTAAAATGAGCATTACTAGATTGGCGGTTTCCTGATTTTAAAATCGTACATATGTTGCATTCATATGTCCAGAAAACAGTTTTGTATTAATACTGCAGGAGTGAATTACCTGTATGGTTCGTATGAATGACACTGATACCCTCTCCTCAAACTCGTTGACTGGTGTATAAAGGTTTAGGACCTTCACAATCTGAAAGAGACAAAACACAGACAGTTACAAACACATTTCTTAGCGTTCAGACGGACAGAGGCATCTTGTCTGGTTTCTCTGAATGCAGTGTTGTAGGACAGTGTACCTGAGCCGTGGTGAGGGCCAGGCACATGGAGCAGATGGCCTCGGCGTCCTCGTCGGTCTTCTTCTTTACCTGCAGCAGCTGAGCGGCCTGGATTAGAGGCTCCAGCGTTTCCTTCGCCCCGCACACCATCAGCCCTTTGTCCCTGAGCCACTCCTCAAGCTGGCTTACGTTGTACCTACACACACACACACACACACACACACACACGATTACATTACAATACATTTTATTTAGCTCATGCTTAAGTGATTTATGATAAGCGCAATCAACCAAAAGCATAACATTCCTAACACCAAGAAAAACTGGCTCAACAATCACAAACTACATTGTTTAAATTATATGTATTTATTGATAATAAAAACTGAATGTTATTTTTTGTAATAACAAAATATTGTGAAAAGAGAAATTAGGCATATCGAGTACTTTTAGTTTTGATACATTTTGCTGATAAAACTTATGTACTTCCACTAAAGTAGCATTTTCAGTTCAAGAATGATCAGAATCAAGTTTATTGCCAGGTGCGTTTACACAAACAAGGAATTTGCTTTGGTATCTGTAGGAGCGAACTTAAACAATCTAAAAAAATAAGTTGCAAAGTAAGTAAAATAAAGAAAATAATTGTAATAACTTGTATACTTTAAGTCAGAGTACTTCTTGCACTCCTGCTTATATTCCAGAGAAAGCATACTGCTCTGCAGTCAAAATTGTGAAAACACACCTGAAACAATCTAGACTGAAATATGTCTTTTTGAGTTTGGCGTAAACTATCCCTCCTAATCAGGGGTGTCAAACTCAAGGTTAAATGTCGCTTTACAGAAGCACGTTGCCCATAAACTACATATCCCACAATGCATCTCGTTTTGTGACCTGTGCACTGAAGAGACTTGCAATTATTTGCCCTAGACTTCTGCTTTCAGACGTGGTTGATTATGAAGTTATTACCCTATCCGATAATAATCCAATGCAGAGGTAATAATGTAATATAATACATTATTTTATATATATGATATATTTATACATGCATATTTATAAAGTCTTAACGTTACAACCGGCCTTTCGAGTGCAACCATAACACTAATGTGGCCCTCGACTAAATTGAATTTGACTCCCCTTTAAGTGTTCACAACACATAAAGCAGAGCAGTCTCCCTCCCAGCAGCCCCTTGTCTCACCTGATCTGCATGCCTTTGCTCCAGGAGCACATGTCTTTGCGCAGCAGCAGGTTGTTGAGGGTGACAGCCCCGATTATGTAAAACTGCTGCTTCACCACCTGCTTCATGAGCTCGGGGTCGGTGCCGTGCTGGCACATGGTGGAGTGGAAGGCGCTGAGCTGCCGCAGGATGGAGTCCAGGGTGTAGGTGCCCTCGTCCGCGATGCTGGACGTCCTCTTACGGAGACCCGTGGGCTTCACCCCCGACACGCCCTGGATGGTCTCGTGCTCCAGCATGCCAGACACTGCAGGGAACACACACAGGTACTTTACTGTAAGTACTGTTGCCTTCAACTCCTACTCCTCTGAACTTAGCACTTTTTACTTTATTAGCTTTTGTTATTTTTCTTTACTTGCTTGTAAAGCATCTTTGAGCACCAGGAAAAGAACAATGAAATCACAATGTATTATTATTAAGTGGAAATGACATTATTCTACTGTAGCATTAGCTTGTAGAAGCTAGGAGTGGGTAATCAAAGCATCATGATATTGCATGGTCAATGAATACGCGAACACCAAGTCTTGTTCGTTCATGTGACAAAGTTAATCTTTCATTACATAAACTATCAATATTATAAAAACAAATCTAACTTTAAAAAAAATACATATGCATTCGATAAGTTGGACATTTTATAATGTAAAACTGACACTTTGTCATTACTTTTTTTTTTGGCAGTGTTGACAAGTCTGCCTGCTTGACAATCCGATTTTTTCTGCAATAAAATCAACTAAAAATGTAATTAAACTCTATTCTCTAATTTGCACTTGAAAAATAAATACATTGCAATGTTTGTTGTATATTACAAAGTCGCAATTTGTATACTTTTTATATTACAATGGTATAGTGATACTTCTGGTGATCCCCAACCCTAGCAGTAGCACACACACTCAGACGTGTTCATGCACACACCTATACTGGGCTGCAGGATGTTCTCCATGCACTTGATGAGCTGCTGGTAGATCTGGATGGCCAGGTCGCTGATCACCTGTCGGTACTCTGCCAGGTCGAAGTTGGACAGACAGTGTTCGTTCTGCCTCGTCGTGTTGTGCTTCATGAAGGCCTGACACGAACACACAGGCAGATACAGGGTTACAACTGTTCTTGTTTAATTAAAAACAATAATGTAGAATTCTAACAATCCTTCTTCATGAGTCATGACTGTGTACATATTTGAGAGAGTTTCTCTGTTGGTGTTGTGTCAGTCTCACCTCGTCTCCGCTGTACTGTTTGAGGCAATGCAAGAAACGGCAGGTGTTGGATAGCCAGAAGGAGACGGTCTCAAAGTCGTCTCCTCGTTTCTGAAAGAACAAATTAAGTCAGTAAATCAGCAGGTTATATTCATAATCAAGACCTATCAGAGTCATTTCGTCCCCCGGATGACTGAGAAGCAGCCTTTGAAGCATCTTGATTCAAATAAAGAAGAAACAGATTCAGCTATTACCTTTAAAACACATTTACTCAACACTTACCGGGGACATGTAAATGCTACAAGTACTAATCAACTGTGTACAGATCGCCCGGGAAACTCTTATCACCCTTTCTTTGTAGGATTGACATCATCATTCAGCTTTATATAAGAACTACTGCCCTACACACAAACACAGTATGCATACCTTCAGGATCTTCTTGATACTGTTGATGGTGGAGGTGAGCAGGGTGCGGACCTTCTGGTCATCATTGACGTAGTCGGCATGTCTCAGACACATGAACAGGATGTAGGCCGGCAGACCTGGGATCAGATTCACAGCTACACCTCGAGGCTTCAGCTCTGCAGAGACAAGAGTTCAGTGATCAAGAATTCAGAGACAAGCTTCAGCTTCATATTCTACGAAAGCTTTATGGTTTCCGACTAGAGAAACTGTGGATACAATAGGCGCATTCACACCAAGTACTTTTCCCACAAAGGTTCCTGAGAACTACGATTTAGTTGCGTTCACACCAAAAAGTCCCAGGAACTAAATTAGTTCTAGAGAACCTTTTTTACCCCCTTTTCAGTCTCTGCTAGAGAGCAGGGACTTTCGTGGGAGAAAAAGGTTCCTGTGTCGGATTGGCTGGGCGGATTGCAAACCACGCCCCGTCAAACTCCCAAAAACTTTTGTGAAGCCGCCATTTTATTATCCTCGCATTGCATTATTAGCATTAGCGTTATTAGCATTAGCATTAGCCAAGCGCACCAACGGAGAGAGACTAACTTATGACAACACAAAATAAAACATGGGAGCGGTGGAGATGAGGAGGTGTCGGCGTTCTGGCCGTTTACTCGGAAGGCCCAGCAGTTTCTACTGAAGCCAGTCATGGATGTATAATAAGCCAGTCCCCAACTCCGGGGACTTCCGGCCGGGGATTTTGGGCGGCAGTATACGCCGTGAAGTTGTTTGCGGCCTGCCAGTAAACCCAAAGCAGAAGAAGAAGAAGTGACGTCAGCGGCTTCATTTGCCTAATCCACCCCCAGGAACTAATTTCCGGTGTGAACGCGATCTGTACTTAGTTCATGAGAACTAAAGAGTTCTCAGGAACCTTTGTGGGAAAAGTGCTTGGTGTGAACGTGCCTAATCTTTATTCTAGCAGCTTTAATTGATAAATGGAATTGAGCGATTTTCAAGTTATCTTAAAAAGTAAAACAGTTCCAAGTTAAATCCTCAAAATGCAACTTGAGACAGAGCCCAAAGCGTCCTTGAATGACCTATTTGGAGTCAATGATTATTCAGGATGTGTGATGACTCGTGTTAATGCTCTTTATAGTAAGGTCTCACCCAGGATGAGGTTCTTGACCAGTTTGAGCTCATCCTCCTTGTTGTACTCCAGCATCCCTTGGAAATCTTTCTCCCTGCGGGGAATGTTGACAGGATGAATCGGCTCATCCACCACCTGTCCCGGAGACGTCTGTCCCTCGGTTTGACCCGCTGTGAAACACAAGACATAAAACATCAGGCTATATGTTGTACCGTTATGATCAAACGTACATACTCTTAATCCTCTGCTGACCCATGGTTTCTCCCTTACCTCCCATCTCTCCGATCCTCTTGGAGTAAACCTTCAGCTGCTTCTTCAGCTTGCGGATGGTTCGGTCCTGTTTCTCCAGCTGCTCCATTAGGTCCTGAAGGTTGGGAGTGATAGAAAAATAGAGAATAGTGAGGACATGGGAAAGCTTCTGAATTCTAAGAGAGCTTCACGCTGTCGCCCCCCAGTGGTTAAAAACATACACTTTTGTAAATCAGCTGCGGGCTTTGCATCAGCCAAAGTCTTTGAAACAGACAAACAAACAGAAAGAGCAGGGAAGGGGAAGGTTGAATCAACGTAAGAGCTGCTGTATTGATTTTTTTGTTTTCAGAGGAAGCAAAGTTTCAGGACTCGGTGGCTGTTAGAAAACGAGAGAATGCTGCAGAGCTGCTCCTCTGAGTTAGAAGACGCCGCTGTGGAGAGTTAGAGCAACACTCAGCGCCGTTTCATTCAAAACACACAACATCCGTTAGTTCTGACACATGCAAACATACACGCGCACACACACACTCTACATACAACCATCCGTCGTAAAATCTTGACTCGAGCCTCTCTGGATGCTTCGGGGTCTTCAGCCAGGAGCTCCTGTCAGGTGACACCCAACACGCAGATGAGTGTGTGTGACAGTGATTCAGTTTTTCAGTGGGAGACCCAGGTGGGAAGGACACCACCAACCCATGATACATGAAATGTAACTGTCCTTCAGAACTGTCTGGTAGTTTGTCACTCTCTGTTTTATAATCATCACAATATAACTGCATTTCGCTTGTGTTTTAAGAAAGCACTAAGTCTGTATGCGTATGTTGTTTTATGTAGATGTAGATTCTGGTTTAAAGGCACCAGAGTCATGTATTACCAATCTTTACTTTTCTTTTCTGAAGATTGTGCTCTGGATGCATAGCAGGAATAACGCAGCAATTCCCTTACTGCTGAAAGCAGTATTTTGTATATAACAAATGTTGATATCTTATGCCATCTATATGAAGGACTTTGGTAAACAGTAATTCTGCCTTTTTGTGCACAGTTAGAGTCGTCCCCCAAAGTATTTTTGTGCTTGAGAAGAGAAAAGATGAGACATTAACTTACTAATACCCTAGCATTCAAGTCATTTTCTGAAATTAACTAAGAACAAACTGAGATGACACAACAAGCATCTCTTTCTGCATCTTTGCTGCAATTGGAAGGCAATAATAAGTGTAACAGATTTAAAGGCTTCATCTTTGAGGCAGTGGTATGACATTTTGGGAGAGACCATTCTCTAAACTGATTGTCAACGAGCAAGCTAACATGCATATTTCCCAAAATGTCAACTTTAGAGTCTTGAAAATTGAGCAATACCAACTATCTGAAAGTAGGGAAAAGTATACTGAAACTGCAGTACAGGTTAGAGCAGGGGTGTCCAAACTTTTTTCACCGAGGGCCACACAGAGAAATATGCGAAGGGCTGGGCCAGTCTGGGAGGAGAGGTTTATTGCCTCATAAGTTAAGTTATAAGTTGGAAAAGTCAATCCAATGTAGGTAAATTATTCTTGATACTTGAAAATGCTTTAAGAAAAAAAACAGCCTACATCCCAGCTCTGCATAGGGCTTCATTAGGTTTGTTAGCAGCTCATTCCCTGACCCTAACCTTAACCCCTTATCATAAGGGGAAATATGAAGGGTATATTTCAAGGTTGTTATGTACATTTGTGTAATATATATGAACATATATATTTAAGAAGTAAAGCAGGCAGAAGTTTATTATACTTAAGTCATTATACTTTTTTGAATTTGCTGAGTGAGGGCCGATTCAAAATGGCCCGTGGGCCGCATTTGGGCCCCCGGGACGTAGTTTGGACACCCCTGGGTTAGAGTTACCGCTGTTCATCTGCCTGTAGTGTGTGTGTGTGTGTGTGTGTGTGTGTGTGTGTGTGTGTGTGTGTGTGTGTGTGTGTGTGTGTGTGTGTGTGTTCAGCGTACCAGGTTCTCGTTGGTGAGGCGGGTGATCTCGTGCTGCAGGCTGGCCTCGATGCGGGCCTCTGGAGGCAGCTGCAGGTTCTGGGCTAAGAGCTGCTGCTGGCGGTTGTTGTCCTCCTTCACGTTCTGCAGCTCGCCACGCAACGACTCCACATCGTTATCGTAGCCTCGCCGCTGAGTCTGAAGCTGGTGCTCCAGTAACCTGAGGGGGGGGGTGAAGGAAGGAGGGTAGGGATGAGGGACGAGAAGTGAGGAGGAGGATGGAGTGGGATAGACGAAAGAGTGTGAGAGGGCACAAATGGGAGAAAAGGGGAAACAAATCAGCGTTATTGTGTGAATGAAACTTCATATGACAGTGAGAGAGGATTTCACCACAGCATGGTGACGCAGGAGCATGCTGTGCAGACATTACCAGCAGCCCAGCTCTCTGAACACTTTTTCTTAAATATGCTGCTTCATTAAAAAGGGGCTGAATAGGAAATTCAGAGCATATCTAAGATGGAGGGATTCCCTGCACACGGCTCTCCACATGAACAACATGCATCCACCGCTGATTAGATTTGAGTAAACACAAATATGTATTTACTTCTTAGAGAACACATTACTCCACTGCATCTTAACAACGAAAATAGTTGTTTGCTGGTTTTTTTAAATTTGATGAATTTCGTACATGGATCGTTAATAAAAATTCACTTTCTTGAAAAGTAAAAAAAACCAACAAAAAAACAGTTAAACGTTGATTGCTCCAGCTGAAGTTGGGGCCTCCTTCAAAAACTGTTCATGGACCCTTCAAATTTAAATAGTTGTCTTGTTTTAAATTCTCTAAGGTACTTCTCTTCATGTGTTATGTTAAGAGTAACATTGGAAAGAGGAGCTAGACAGGCCTTGAGTGATCAGAATAAAGTCAAATATTATACCTAAACAATTATTAGGGTTTGTTTTGAATGTCAGGAATAAGGAGGGTTTCCCGCCTTGTTTTGACTTCTTGTGCATCAGTTAGTAAGATGTAAGTGATAAAACACGACTGATCTACTCCCTCTCTAGGATCTTTGCAGTACAGTAGTTACTGTACAATTTAACAGGCTGTCACTCATAACTGAGTAAAACAAGGTTAGTGGAAGGATGGAGGCAATGTCTGATGCACAATACACAAAAGGGAAAAACAATTCAATTTGTTTTTATAAATTGCTTTAAATAATGCAGCTTCTATGCGGAGTTTTCTATGGATAAAACAACCATGTAAAGAGCTGTGTGGGGAAGAGTGAACATGTTCTGTTGTGCCACAAATATAGAGAGTACCTAAGTAGACTACATGACACACTTTAATACAACAGACTTTAGTCGCTGTTACGAAATAACGTGTGTTGTGGCGCATTTCCACTGCAGCACCTAGCCCGGCTTAGTACGGTATGGTTAGGCCAGGCTCACTTTATGCTGCGTTTCCATTACAGTTTAGGAACTGGTGTAGTAACTATAATAACGAAGTGTAGCCGGGGAGGTCGGCTGTTCGGCGGGCGGAGCGAAGCTGCGTAAAACTGCTGTGACGTCATCTTCAATGCGAACCACAAAACCATAATATCAGCCGTTAGCTGTTAGCACTCAGAGCTTACAGCTCCTCCTATCTGTTCAGAAACTAGACAAAAGTTAAACAAGTACAAACCACAGACTGTCTGTGTCATGGTGAATACAGTCGCTGGTTTATTTATGTCTGTAGGCCGTTGTTGTGAGTGTGGACGGTCGGAGCATATACGTTGATCGATCCGATCTCCATTCAGAACACACACATAAATCACGGTAAAATGTGTTCATTTTGTTGTAGTTGTAGCCCCCTTGCCAGCGATTCTCACTGACCATTCAGCAGTCGAGTTTAGCATATTCAGCCCGGTTGTTGGCCCGGTAAGAACCTCGATTTTGGACGGCCAGAAAAAAGGTGAAAAAGTAGCCCTGAGCCGGAACTAGCCCTAGTGGAAAAGCAAAAACGGGCCCTCTTAAACCTTGCAATGTGCTGCAGTGGAAAAGCGCCATATGTTTTGCCTTAAACCAGCTTTTAAATTAGTTTAGAGGATCTCTTAGTCAAACCAAAACACAAGCTGTCTCAGTATACGTCCTAAAACTGTTAAGTTGGACAACATTGAAAGTTAGCTGTGAGAGAAAACTCTGAACAGTTGATACAGCGAAAGAAAGAGGAAGTACATGAATGAAGAAACAACAGCAGCACACATCCTTTCCTGTGAGAAGGCAAACGCTTCATGCTCAAATAAAAACACCTGATGGTTTCCTTTAAGCCCTGATTAACCAGCCACAGCTCTCCGTCCTCATTCAGCTTGTGGAGGTCTGGAGCGGCAGATCTGACCGACACAACACAAAGGAACATGAACAACACAATGACAACAAGACAGAAGCGGGATGGTTGGGTTGGGGAGAAGTGTGCAAAACAAGAATAAAATGTCTGCTTTTTATCTGAAGTGTCTGCATGTGTGCATGTTCTAACACTGTCCAATTTGAAGTCATATTATCTGGAGTTTAAGGTGTACTGAATGTGGCTGTAGAGAGAAATATGCATACAACTTGTTCAGACTGTGATATAAATAAATCTCTAATTTGAATAAAATCTAACAAAATATTTTTGAAGATATTCTGATAACCGTGGATTCAGGTTATTTTTCAAATGCAGTCATTTCTACTAATGTCTGTTTTGAACGAATAATTTCACAAGCAAAGTGAGAAACATGTAAAAAAAGAGAGGGATTAAGCCAGTGATGCACAGTATTGTAAAGACTGCCTAAAAACAGAGAACATGTCTGCTGTTAGCTAGCTATTGTGTGTACAATATCAAATATGTGTTTACTTTGCCATCTTACAATGTGCATCTTTTCAAGACCAATGAGATGACATGCACTTAAAAACATGGAGAAAATAAATGTTAACATGATGATTCCTTGCAGAAACATTAAAAATGAAATTCCTTTAAGGTGTGCTGTGCATCTCTGCTTGGACAAACAAAGAGAAAAGTGGGCTTTCATGCAGGATTTATGCCAAACTCATTCCATAAAGCTGAGATAGGAGGCCTGCATCCAACCCAACACTGCCTGAAAGTCAGTGAGTGAGGAAGTCAGGTTGAAATCTATGTGTTAGTAAAGGTTAGACTACAACTGAAGACTACATGAAACCCTTTGAAGCTCAGACCTTTCCATGCTGTCATGCTGCACATTTAGAAAACACTGCATTTAAACATGGTGTTCTGCAGCATCTCCAAAAACAGACCAGAAGCCCCTGAACACATCTTCATATCTTTGTTTTGAGGAAAACTGATTCTCTCTTCAGTTTGAGAGACTCATGCCTAACTAGGAGATCCCATGCAAAACGAAGAATCTTAAAATATGACTTGTATGACTTGATGTTTAATAATAACAACTGTTAGAGCATAAGTCCGACCTGAACTGTAGCTAGAGCGGCTTCGTTATTCATCATGCTGTTAGCGCAGAAACAGCTACCCAAGCTTTCATCAGCACGAAGACGTAGAGTCAGCTGTTTCAGCCTCAGTAAAACAAATCTCTTTTTCACTCTGGTTTTGCATCAGCGTGGCCATGCATGCTCTGTCCCATGATGCATAGGCCACGTCTGCTTGTTTTTTTTTTTACCTCAGCCTACTCAGGAGATCACTGACTTCCAATGGCTTACGCATGAACCTAGGAGATCTGCACAGGACAAGGCAGTGTTCACAAACACACACATTTATATAATGTATATATCATGGTAACAACAGACACAACATTTGGATCAAAAAAATATAGGGATTTGGGAGAAGTGAATTCACACTTCCATTAAATAAATTACATTTTGTTTGCCATTTAATATCTTTCATCGTACTAGTGTCACTATACAAACATGTCACCTCCACCTGCCATGCTTTTGTGCAACTATAGGCATTACAATGGGTTGCAAATGTTCACAAAAGGTCAAGAACATTTCTAAATGTATGTGAATAAATTCTTGTTTCGCGATCCACTACCCCTTGGCTTCTTAAGATAAGCAGTAGATGGCGCCAATTTTCCATTGGGAAGACTTTTTTTTTTACCATTGCAGTAGAAGGGGCTGATGACGAAATTAAAAAAGCGGCAGTAGAAAAAGTATGTAGAATACCTGATTTAAAAATGACCTTTCTGTTTGTTTTATGTATTCATGTGATGAAGGTTACATCAAATGTTATGTGGAGCGTTGCGCTAATCTATCGTGATGATCCGTCTCTTCAGCAGAGCAGAAGCTACATCGAGGTTTCAGTCGAATGCTTCGTGTATGTCAATATTTATTCGCTTACGAGACACTTTGTCATAGTTTGCTTTTAGCAATACACCAACTTCTTCCGGCCGAAAAAACCCATTAAAAAAAAAACCTTTTTGCCAAAGCACTGGTTCTTAGTATCATAATGGTTGAGGTATTGTGCGCTCCTTTTGTTGATGGGAGGGAGTGATAATGTCTGTCATATGTTGATAATGTTTGCACAATATGAAAATCGATAGCATCAAGTCATTGTATGTCCTTCTGGTGTCCAAAGAGGGCATGAATGATTAACCCTGATGTACAACAGGTGTCGTTATGTAAGAATCTCCATGTACGTCCTATTTATGTTGTGTCTGTGAAAAATATTTTTTTCTGCGTTTCCACTTCGTTTTTTTTATGCTCAAACTGGAAAAAGATATGGATGGAAATACACCTAATTATGAATGTATGGATCTGGAGATTAGGAGGAGTACTGTCTGTAACAAAGTACCTGTTGGTGTCTTTAAGCCCTACGTAGGCTTGCTTGATTTCGTCAGAGTCCTTCAGCTTGGAAACATCCTCCGCATAGACTGAGGGCTCGGTCATGGTTTCCTACACAAAGATAAACAAAGGGGATACATTAGAAAAGGTAACACCACATTTAAAACAGTAACCAGGCTCAAACAACCTCTGGCAAAGGTGCATAATGAACCCGTGTCATTCAGATAGGTGTATGAATAAAGATAATGGAGTCATGGTTAGTTCACAGTGCTGAGGGCTGTCAGCATGTGTGCTGCTGACTCCCTGCCAGCTTCACTACGGCTGCCGGCTACCACTGTCCTTTTACTCTGACAATCATCATCCTCCAGATGAAACACTGACAAGTAATCAAGTGACGCCTCAGTGACAGCAGGGAGCTTCACCGCGGGGCGACTTCTACTAGCTTTCAACAGACATGAGGAGGGGTTTAAGGTCACTCATGATCCTAATGTCTGAGTGGGGTTCATGTGATCGCTGTGTGACAGTTTGATGTAAAGACAAGGATCATTTGTTAGCATCAAAGACACGAATATCTATATCTGTGTAGCTGTACGAGGTGGGAATCAAACGGATTCATGTACAAAATGTGATTCTTGTCTTCTGAGATGAAATGTGGAATTCACAAATTCCCAAGACATATTTTTTTTTATATTAGAACCTATATGGCGTATGATGGACAGGTAATCCTACACAAAGTCTAATGTGTGTCAAGCATTTTTTGAACAATCACAGTTTTAAAGAAATGTGTAGCATACATTTTTGAAAATTGCCAAGTTTCTTAAAAAATATAATTAACAGATTATAAGAAAACCATGTAATTATGAAACACACGACATATTTTTTTAAATCTTAAACTTGTTTTATGAGAACTCATTGAGAAACACTAAAAACGTAATATTAAAAAGCACTTTTTGTGAAAGCCTGGCGTACATTTTGGCTTTTGCCTTTGTGTGTTTATATTACAGCAATCTGTTGACATAAAAAAATAAGACTTCATAATCCTTTTATTAATTATTCAGCTGCCACATTATGCCACACTGACTTCATTAGCGCTGTTGAGATACTTTTGAGCAGCAGCAAGTGAAAAAAGGGAATCCCTACTATTGAACAACCACCAGGAGAACAGTTGTTTAAAGTATTTAAGTGTATATTTTGAATTACTTAGAATCTTTCCTAGCAGTGGTGTTAGAGCTGCACAGAGAAAACAGACTAACTAACATATCAAATTAAAAGTTGGATCAGATCTTTAAACAAATGAGGTTTACATGCAAGAAACACAGTGACACAGTGACACAGAGCTAAACAGTCATGCAGGAGGCAGTTTTTGTAACTGTACCTTCTCATCCTGTGGGGGAGCGTGGATGGAGGAGAGAAGGTTGAGACAGGAGTTAGACAAAAAGACGGTGCAGTGAAACAGAAAACTACTTCCAGTGAGAACATCGACGTGATTTCATTTTTAGTTTGACCCTCTACTACATTTTGTTCAAATGTCAAATAAGTTATACTCTATTAATCGTTCGCCATTTTTTGCTTTAAAGCTAGAAAGGAAGTCTCAGATTTCATGCTTTTTTTGAATACATCAACATGAGAAAAGTATTTATTTATAACTCATTACTTCAAAAATCTGAGATTAGGATCACTCGCCAAATGTAATTGTAGTGATCTCTTTTTTTTTATTTATCTTGTGCTAACAAACAGAAGCAGACATGGGGGAAAACACAACATGCACATGTGAGGTGGTGGATGCGAGCAAGCAGGGTGCCATCCTCCTTCATTTAGCTTCATTTGGTGAAAGACACAGCACCACGTAAAGATGCCATATGTTTAACCTAAAGTGGCTACACACTCGGCTTTTCAGTATCCTTGGGTCTTTTTTCACTTCAGTCGTGATATGGATGTACTTCCTGTATTTGCATCCTGAAAACAGTCACAGTCACACGTTGCTCTACCTTGTGGTGCATGGCCTCCTTCTGGCTGACCAGCTGTGAGCGCAGGATTAACACCTCCTCCTTACGGACCTCCAGCTCCTCACAGGAGGAGTTCAGCTGCTCCAACACCACCTTGTAGGCTGGGGAGCCTGGGGCCCCGGCGCCTGGACCAGCTTTACCCAGCAGGCTTTGCCTAATCTCCACCAGGTCATGTTTCAGCTTCTTGTTCTCCGAATCCAGCTCCTGGCGCTGAGGAGTGAAAAGACTCAGTGTCGGTGGGTCACAGTAACAAGTGCCAAATGAGGCTTTCTGAAGCTAAGGCAGGAATTACTCTAATAAGTAAGTGTCTGGCTTTCGGTCGGTGAGAGAAAAGGTGCTAATGTCTCCACTCTCTTCTCCTCTGGTAGCTTACCTTCAGTGACTCGTACTCCAGCTCTGCTCCACGAGCCTTTTTAAACTCAACGTCATCCTGAAACAAGGAGCAAAACATGGCGATGAAGAGGGTTTTCGTACAGTGACAACGTGTGTAATACCTCATTCAGCTTCATTTAACGCAGGGCCAATTAAAAAAACGGCCTGAAGGAAGAAAAAGGTGGTTCGATTTTTGTTCATATCTTCATCTAAATCAGTGCTTCTCAAACTTTTTTCAGTAATGTACCCCCTTTGAAACATTTTCTCAGCCAAGTACCCCCTGACCGACCCCGGACATTTTTGACAGAAAAAGCCTATATAAATAATTACAATATAGTGATGTTCCATCAGTGTTTGATTTATTAACTCCTTAATGCATGAATTACAACAAACTAAGGATATTTTGATGAAAATATCCTTAGTTTGTTGTAATTCATGCATTAAGGAGTTAATAAATCAAACACTGATGGAACATCACTATATTGTAATTATTTATATAGGCTTTTTCTNGGTGTAATTGTGTAGCCCGTTTAGGCGAATGAAACTCGACACAAAATTTGTCAAAGATTAGGGAAACACCTTCAAAGGTGAACGCCGTAGGAAATAAAAAAAAAGAGTCCGCCCGTTAGGTTTAAGTAAGGACTCGGTTATTGGTAGTTTCAGTTGAGGTTATCACCGAGGAATTAATACCGAAAAGTAGGGGATAATTTGATTACATGAAAGCTGGTAAGTAGGTCAAAGCTGTCATTCAACATCCCTTAAAAACCCTCTGAAAATTTGAAAGGTGGAATGACGACAACGTAAAGGGCAGGGGGGGAACAACACGACACACACACCGGTTGAAGGGTTGTCCTCAGTAAAACCCCCCCCGAGGAACCCGCTTAGGGTTTTTTCCCAACCTGGGAGATAGGATCCTAAGCTTGCCGTTGAATAAGGTGACGACGGTGACTCCATGAGCCGGCCAGTAAGTGAGGCAATCCCCTTCCAAGGATTCGAATTTACCCTGATATGCTGACGTTGGGTATTGCCCAAAAACTTTGAAGATAAAACATCACTAGTAGAAAGAGTTATTTTTGTAGAAAACGACCTAGAAAAAGTTCAAGCAAACCGGTTAAGTCTTGGAGTTCTAACAACGGCCTTCAGGGGTGCCTCCTTAATTTGGAAACACCACTTGATAACCTGGGGGCCACCTACTAACTCGTCAGTGTCTTGTTACCCCCGAAGAATGGGAATGGGTGGTTAAATTTTCATTCCAGTGTGTCTGGAGAGAGAGAAGACCCGAGAAGAGAGACACACCCTCGTCCCGTCAAAGTCACCATGTCCTTGTGTTCACCTTTGTGGTTTTGTTACCGTAGTTTTATACCATAGATTATTAAAGCCCATCATTCATCTAAATAAAATAAAAGAAGAGGTCTCAACATGTCTTACGCATCAAATATAAACAATCATAAGATTTTTAGAGGACCTAACGTACACACGGAAAAATACAAATATGTCAAGTCGAAAACTAAGATAGTAGAGTAGTTTGGGAAAAATTTTCCCGTATGAAACCAACAACCACTTCCCTATATTCCCTATTTTACTCAACGTGCAGGTGGAAATTAAATAACATAGACCTTTTCGCGTATTGATATATGTCGTGCTAAAAAACCAACTTATCTAAAGCTTCCCAAGTTTTACACCACCCAGTGCTAAATAACCTGGTCATTTTTTTCACCCAGGCCCGGACTGGCCGCAACCTCTTGGTGACGGATAATTACATACATAAATACATACATAATACATACATTACATACATACATACATACATACATGGACTTGTTTTTAATATTTGCGTTGTGAAAACAAAACGAGGGTATAAAAAGGTACTCTACTTGAGTTTTCTATATTTTGTAAAAGATGTATGTGTTTATGTGGAAGAGAGGTTATAACAAAGTGGGTTTTGACTTTTTTAGACACCTATCACTCGGCGAAGAGGAAACCGCTCTTAGGTAGGGGTTGGAGTGTCCCAAACCGTATAGTTCTACGACTAATCACACCACAGTTGTTATTAGCTAAGCCGCCTACGTAGCGTTACGTCCCGTACGTGCTAAGTCGAGCTACCGCCGTTTCACCGGTATTGCTAATACAAAAGACCGGAGGCACCTTTCACACCCCGTTAACGAGACAGCGATAAACCTCAAAATTTGATGTTGGAGGTCCAAAATTTTGACACAATTTGAGGTTTTTGTATCACTGTTCTGTTAACCGGGGCGCCTCCAAAGTTAATGAAGGCCGCCGGTAGTATTGTGTAATTGTTCCTACAGAACTCCGCCTCCCTCTACTGGTGCTATCTGCCTGGTAATTTTTTGGGCGTGGGGTCTTTCGCCCTTTCGACTTAGACCCGTGTAAAACTAAGGATGCCCCTTCATTATACCTCTTTGATCTGTTTCCGAATCCGCACACCATTTTGGACGGTGGCAATTTTAGTTCGGTGCAAACGTTATTGGTTGAAGGGTTGAAGGGGTGGTTTAAGTAACAACTAGCGACCCGTAGGGGGACTCAACCAAAGGTGTCGTGCGTGTTTTTTTCAACTATGGAGGAGGTTCCCTTAAACCTTGCCAGCCGATCATCCAAGTTGCAATCGGTGTGGTTGAGATCTCTCGTTTCCTCCTAGTGTCGCGAGCCACCCGTACAAAGTATGCTTCTAGATGCCTGGATAAGACACCATCTTACACCCCAAAGCGGTTAACCGAATATTTTGAACTTCGGGGCCATATTCGAAATGGCCCTTTCTCGACGAAAGTGCCTAAGACGCCGAAGGCCGTTAATATCTGTTTCTTTGTTTCCGTTTACCATTACCTTAGGTCACCATTTGTCGGGCGCACATCGGTAATTGTTCACTGCCGAACCCTGAAGTCCAGCGTTCCTCAGGTAACATTTGGTATTGCCGTGTAATATAATCGTCACTAACCGTCTCAACGTAGGGTGTACACCGACCGTCCTGCTCTCGTGCAAAATACTCTCGGTCGTGACCCACGAGTATAACGCTCCGATGAAGAAACCTACAACAACTCCCTTACCGTCGATCTGTCTAATTTGGGTCACAACACGACCAACCTCCAACTGCCTTGTTTGGCGGGGGCCGTGTATACTATCAACGACGACTGTAGACCGCGGTTCAGAGGAGTAACGATATTTACGAGGGAGGGAGCGCGTATGCAACTTGGAGCGACGCGTCGCCCGCGAATTCGATGGGGCTGCCAGGAAGAGCGTCCCCGAAGACCGTCTCAGGCTGCGTAAGAGTCGTATAAGGTGCGTCGTGGTTTTCCCGGTCGTGGACGAAACTCTTTTGGTCCTCCAACAGAATTGACTGTTCAGGTGACTTTGACTATGACCTAACAGCGGTGTCCACCTATCACGAGTGCTATACTACCCTCTCCAAAAACGTTGACGTTCCGACGTCACGGTAACGGTGTGACGACAGCGGACGGCGATTTACATCTCAACCTTTCAACCTGTAGCAGGTGAGAAGCGTCTCGTCTAGACCGATTTGTACCCTCCCCCTTTCCGTCACTTCCTGTAATTTTGGTCACTTTCCTACGGGACAAAAATACAGTACTCCCTCTCGTCAGGATGTCTAGTCTGGGAGTAACGTGGTCCATAATTACGGCGTTTGAGGGAGGTCTTGTACCAAGTCTTGTGATAACCTCTGTTGGTACTAGGGCCCCTACACTTCCTTACGGTACGTGTTTTTGTCCCTAAGAGGAATTCTCCATGTGCTCACCCCGTCTCCTTCTTCTAGGGAAGTTTATGTAGGAGACGGGACCTAGGAGCGAAAATTGTCCCCCAATGGCAAGGTACTGTCTTCTCCTTCTCTTATCCTAACAGACTGCGTCTCTCACCTGAAGTCTCGACGTAGGGACTCTCCATTAACTTAAAGATGAAACATTTTGAATACCTTAAATAGACAAGTTAAGTTTAACATTATTGAGTTACATCTACCAACTTATTCGTCGCGACGTTATCAGGTCAATTTTACAATTTCTGACTCCTTGTTTTAATCAATAGAACAGAATACACTCGACGTCTAACCGACTCCCTTTCACGAAGAATTGACGACAAAATACGAGAATAAAAAAAACAACCTTTGTCATAACTCTTCCTCTTACAAAATAAACACTAGTCTTCTACTCTCGCGGTCTGCCTTCCTTGGTGCCGGCCGTCTGTCCTCCAAGTCCTGGTTACTTCTCAAACGACAGCACCTATGTACACAGGACTGAATCGTCCCGGGAGACGGGGTTTTCTTTACTTCGGAGCAGTAAGCCGGACGAACACCAAACGACCTCGACCCCCGTTACCCCTGGTACGTTCACTTGGACCGTCCTGTCTCATTCTGGCGGCTCACGGTTCACGACTTGCTCGTTAAAACTTAACATGACATTAGGAGGGTCGACTGAGAGGAGACTCCTAGGGAACCCTTGACCACCCGTACGCGGTAATTCCCCGTGTAAAGACGAGGAGAAGTATCCACGCCGTTTCTCAATGAACACCTAGGGTCTGTTCACACAGTCTCTCTTCTGCATACCACGCCGGCGCATAATAGGGACGTTTTTCTTGCCCAGTTTGGCCTGGCGTCACAAACAAGTCGAACCAAAAAACCGTGTTCTCTCTGGAAACTTTTAAGGTTTTACCGGCACTTGGTCATCTCTCAATACTGACATCCGAATCCAGGTTTGATATCACAGGAGGTGAGCACTTTGCCTAACAAATACTAACACTACCAACTTGAGTCTGCCCTCTTCAACAACGTGTTTAACCATCATTCGGCATTCCCGGATGTGTGAAATAAAAACCATGAATGTTATAACTAAGAGTCAGACTATAGAAACACTACGTCGACTACACAACTAACGGTCCTCCTAAGAGTGAGTCCATATATAACAAACAGTAGAACAGAATTCGACGATTCGACAACAACAAGCGTTTCTTAACGTGAACCGAGAATATGACTTTTTTAAAGTGTCATATTCACCAATGAACACACAAGTCACTCATAAAATAAAACGACCCCACGGA